ATTGCATTTGCTCTGATGAGTTATCTTCAGAATTATCTTTTAAGGAATTTGAAGTAGCTTTGAATTCTGTGAAAAGAAACAAAGCAACAGGAGCAGATGAAATTAATGGAAACGTAATTATAGATTGTTTCGATATATTAAAACATATTCTTTTTAAAGTTTTTAGAGCTTCTATAAATCAAGGAATTTTTCCAGAACAATTAAAAGTTGCTAAAGTTACTCCTATCTTTAAAGAAAGTGACAGATCAAATATGAGCAACTATCGACCCATTTCTGTTCTTTCGGAATTTTCAAAAATTTTAGAAAGAATAATGTCTAATAGAATATACAAACATCTCAACAAAAATAACTTACTGTACAACAAACAATTTGGTTTTAAAAAAAATAACTCAACAGAGCATGCAACAATCCAGTTTGTGCATGAAATCTTTTGAAAAATCTTTTGAAAAATCACAGTATTTGTTAGGTATCTTCATTGACCTATCAAAAGCTTTCGACACGGTAGATCATCACATTCTGCTTCAAAAACTTGAATATTATGGAATTAATGGTATTGCCTTAAAATGGTTTAGAAGCTATTTAACAAAAAGAAAACAGTTTGTAATTAGTAACGACGGCTATCAAAATAATTGTCTTGATATCGTCTGCGGTGTTCCTCGGGATTCAATCCTCGGGCCCTACTTTTCTTGATATATATAAATGATCTGAATAAAGCTTCTAACCTTATATGCATTATGTACGCAGATGATACCAATCTATTCCTCTCAAACAGTAATATATACGAACTCTTTACTACTATGAATAAAGAATTAAAACATATATCAAACTGGTTTAAATGTAATAAGCTAACTTTAAATATTAATAAAACCAAATGGACTCTATTCCATTGGCATGCAAAAAAGCGATTTTTACCAATAAATTTGCCGAAACTTTTTATTGACGAAATTGAAATAAAAAATGATTCCGTTACAAAATTCTTAGGTGTTTATCTCGATGAAAACATCTCCTGGAATCAACATATTAATTATATATCTACCAAAATTTCAAAAAACATTGGGATTCTATATAAAGCTCGTAACTACCTAAATAAAAATTGCTTAAAACAACTTTATTACTCTTTTATCCACAGTTACATAAATTATGCCAACACTGCTTGGGGGAGTACTGTAAAAAGTAAGTTAAAACTTCTTTATCGTCGTCAAAAGCATGCGATCCGCATAATTAACTATGCCGATCGTTTTACACACACAAAACCTCTTTTTACTGAAATGAGATTGTTAAATTTATTTGAACTCAATGTATTTAAAGTTTTATGTTTTTTATATCTATGGAGAAATAATCAATCCCCTACCGTTTTTAATAATACTTTCAAACTCAAACCTAACAGCAAATACGACATGAGAAACATAAACTTTTTAAAAGAACCATTTTGTCACACAAAATTTAATCAATTTTGCATTGCTTATCGTGGACCCCACCTATGGAATAATATAGTTTTGCAGAATTTTGATTTACCAACTTCCTTTTACCTTTTCAAGCTCAATTTAAAAAAATGTATTATTTCACTTGATAATATACTCAGATACTTCTAATATTTTGAAAATTGTTATACAACTTGAATTCAGTACTTTATTTTAATTTTTACTTTATTTTTTAGTATCTTATACTGGTATTTATTTTGCTTGTTTGTGCTTTATAAGGTTCTGATGACAAGATCTTGTGATCTTCTTTCAGATCCTAGCTTATGTTTCATTGTAAGCAGTTTATGTATGTTCGCATCTACGCATTTGTATGTGTATATATGCTTATATTTATATATGTATGTCCGTGTTTTTTCTTATTTTAATTTAGTTGACAAATGTTGTAACACGAATTTAATTGTAACACGATATATATGGCATATATAATTGTACTTTGACATTTTAATGTAAGCAAAATTAAAAAAAAAAAAAAAAATTTTACCATTAGTATATTGCCCGTAAAAACCGTAACAGACTGTACGTCAGAACTCGGTACAGTTGTTACCGAAGAAAGTATATATAATGTGTATACAGAAATAACAAAAGATGATGCTAACTCAAGTATTCTCAACCATAAATATCAGTGTACCGAAACAACAAAATTGATTTATAAACGGTTTCCTGACAGT